ATTTTTTTTTTTTTAAATAAGGGAGGGGGGGGGGGAAATCACGGCTGCCCTGAGTCCGGCTCCCTCCCCAGCCCCTGTTCCGCCTTGTGCTGACGTCTGGGGAAAAAACCACGCTCCCAGCCCAAACTTTCTTCCCCTGCTCTTTGCTCTGGAGCTGTTCAAACAAACGCCCCTGCTCTGAGCCGAGCGGGGCGGCCCCTCGCCCCCCCGGCCCTGCGACCTGCCCCCCTGCCAGGGACCGAGCCCCGCCGGCAGCCAAGCCGCGGAAAGGGGGGCAGAGAGGGGGGCAGAGAGGGGGGCAGAGCCGCTTCCCCCCCTCCTTCTCTCCCCCCCTTATCCCATCCGCATCACCCCCCCAGCCCTGCTTTAAGTGCTTCTATCAACAAGTGTAAGTGGCTGCGCTCCGTGGGGAGGGATGGGGTGGGCTGGGAGAGGGGCTGGGGGGAGAGGTGACCCGCAGGTTAGCGGGGGACACGGCCCCCCTCCACCTCCAAGCACCCCCCTCCTCCGGTCCCCATCAACCCCGCAGCAAGGTCACCTCTCCTGGGAAAAGCCTGGCTCTCTCGCCTTAATGAGATAATTACGTCCTGCACCACAGTTAAAAACTCATAGGCTGCTTCCCTTGGGGTTAGAAAGAAACCTCCCTAATGAAAACCAGCCACCGGGAAAAAGGAGTTTTTCCTCTTTAAAATTCTATATATTTTTATATATATATATATATACATATACATGCACATAGATATGCAGGGAGGAGACAGTGGGAGGGGAGGGAGCGAGGGAGAGGGGCAGACCCCGGGGCTGCCTGCTGGTGTCCGGAGAGCGCTGGGCTCGGGGCGATGAGCACAAATCGAAGAGGTTAAACAATTTTTCCTTCCCCCCGATTCCAGCCGCTCTCCTGCCCCGCCGCTGCGGGGACATTCGGACAGGGCTGCGCTGGGTTCCACGCGGAACCTCCGAGCGAGATCGGCCGGCTCTGAGCTCATAAACATCCCAGCTCCAGCACGGCCGAGGGAGGCAAACCCCTGGCTGAGTTATTTTAACATTTGTCGAAAGCTTTTCTTGCGCTCCCTTCCCCTCCAGCCGAGGCGTGCGGATTTTTAAGGCAGCCAGCGCTGCCAAATCTGATCTTCCTGACGGGGAAGCGGCTTCCCAGAGCTCTCCAGCTTGGAAGGGGTGCAGCTGAAGGCAGATTTTGGCTCTCTCCAGCTCTGCGGGGGGCTCCTCCAGTGTGCAAACAAGCCAGCCCAACCTCCCTTCCCCCTCCTTTTTTTGGGGGTGTCCGTTTATTGGTTCTGTCGGTCCTCGGGGCGCTTCGGGAGCCAGCTCCGGTGTCTGGTGGTGTCCCCTCGGGGTGTAAATCTCGGGCTGCTGTCACACTGGCCCTGCTCCTGCTTCCCCGCGGGATCTCCCAAAGATGGGAGTTTTGGCTCTGCCCGGATGGACACGTCCCCATCCCCCGTGCCCGCCGCACTTATGCACTCCGTGGGTATTATTTTATATTTTATTTTTATTTTATTATTTTATTTTATTTTATTTTATTTTATTTTATTTTATTTTATTTTATTTTATTTTATTTTATTTTATTTTATTTTATTTTATACAAATAAAATGCCAGCAGCCCTCCTGGCTGCTCCGTGCTCTCAGGGAGGGGATGGCAGCATCCCCCCTGTGACCACCGGGCTCTGGGGGACCCAGCACAGCCTCGTGCCACCCTTCCCTCTCTCCATCCTGCTTTTCCCCACTCTGGCTGCGGGGACAGACCCTCCCCAGGATGGGGATGACCCCACGTCCAGGAAAAACTGCTCCAGGATCAGCCCCGGCAGTGACCCTTCAGCAGTGGGCACTGGTTGTCCCCAGGGCAGTGGGGACCCCCATCCTTGGGGTGCCTGGCACCCCACTCTTGGCTCCAGGCTGGGAACATCTTGCTGTGATTATTTAGGGGTGACTGGTCCTGGCCCATGGAGGGGCGAGGGCAGCAGGGGGGGATGGAGCAGCCCCATCCCCGTTTATAACCCTCTTCCTCCTCCTTGTTTAGGGCCAGACCTTATTCTTGAACTGTCTGGCTTTTCCAGGGGAGACGGCTTTCCCTCAGTCCGTGGCATTAAATAATTAAATGGAGGGAATAATCGTCGGTGAAACCCCCTTGGGTTCGCACTTCCTCGGGCCCTGTGATTGCTGATATTTTTTTGGTTGAAATATGACCTTTTTTATGATCAAAGGGGATCAGAGTTCCAAGAGCATTTTCTTTTTTTCCCAGTCCTAGCGGTCTGGTAAAGTTTCTTTAGACATGCAAAGATTTACACACCTTTCTGCAGGGTGCCTTAAATTACCCTCCAACTCTTTACACATTTCCATGAGCAGAGCAAGAACAGTAAGTCATTGAGAAATTAACTGGCCTTTCAGTAATATCCCCTGTCGGCCTTTCAGAAGGAGAATGCCTAATGACTTTTTTGAAGTAGAGGTCAGGGTTTGCTTTTTTTAAATAAAACAATCTGTATTAATGCAATTTCCTTTTTAGCTGTAGGATTTGCCCCTTTTTTTCCTCAGCATCGTTTTTTTTAACGCCACCAGCCACACGAGGCATCCCAAGCAAGACCTGATTGAAACACTCCTGGTGTTTCCTAACCCGCTTGTGCAAGCTCTTCTCCTTTATTTTTTTTTGGTAAAAATTGTGTTTTAAAATGGACTTAGAAGCTGGCAAGGTGACTCTTGGCTTTGGGCGCAACGTGGGTGGTGCAGGGACAAAGCTGAGCAGGTTTGCTTTACCTGACAGCAGCACCTGGGTTTTGCTGAGCTGGGTGTGAGCTCTGAGTCCGGCTTTGCTGGGCCAGAACTGCTGGGCTGATGAAGCAGAGGCACGGAATTGGCAGGGCTGAGCTGGGCTCCTCAGGGTGAGGATCTGCCTGGCCAGAGCCTGCCAGGTTTGCAGCCCTTGGGATGGATGTGTTTCTGTTTGCCAGCCCTTCATCTTCCTCACAAAAGAAAAGGTTTAAAATATTCTATTTTTTGGTAATCTTATTTGGTGTTTTCCTGATATTTCTCTCACGCTGTGCCTTGTGCTTCCATAGTGCTCAGCATGGCACGGATCTGGATGTGCTCTGCCAGCCCCAGCCCCTCCTCGCCCCAAAACCGTGGGCTGGGGCAGTGCAGCCTCCTTGGAGCACTGCCTGGGATGGTGCTGCTCCTTGTGCTGCCCAGGTGTTCCATGCTAACATTCCCAAAATGTTGCCCTGTGGATGTTCTGGTGCAGAGAGCTGGGCTGGCTCATGCACGGCTGAGGGTTTTCTGACTGCGGGGCTGCACCTCAGCTGCACTGGAGGATGCTCAGAGTGGAGTGCGGGGGTGGTGGGGGCTTGGCAGGACCAGAACCCGGCTTTGGGGGTGGGAGGGTGCCCAGCCCCGTGTCCTGCCCAGCCTGGGGATCAGAGCACCCCCTCCACCCCCAGGGCATCGGGCAGGGGCCAAGGGCAGTGCCACCCACGGGGTGACAGCCAGGAGGAGTCCCCCCGTGCCCAGCCCTGCCCTTCCCAGCAGGAATGGTGTTTCTGGATTTACTGAGCAGCTCCTCTTTCTCCTCCATCCCTGCCAGACCCCAAAAGTACAGCATGCCCTGCCCAGCTCCTCTCCTCCTGCTCTCCCCTGCATCCCTCACAACTCCTCCCAGTGCCTCCTAGCTCCCTGTCTCTGTGGTCGGTGGCGTTATAAAACACCCCAGCCAGCCCCTTGGTGAAGATTTTTCTCCCAGCTTTCTCATTCCCTCTCTTTCTGCCTCTCTTCTGCTCTTTCTTTCTCTCCCTCTCTTTCTTTCCCTGCCAGGAATCCCAGTCAGTCCCAGATGAACCAATACTCCGTGGCTCTGCTATTTCCCTTTTATTCCCCCCCCCCCCCCCCCCCCCCCCCCCACCCAGCGGAGGGGATCAAAGCGGCACATATTGGATCCAGATGTGCTTACAGCCCTTTCCAGCAATTTAATTAAATTCCCCCAGACAGCCAGGAGGATTTCTTAATGATCAAATTTCCCTGGCTTTCCTCCTAAAATGCCCCTCTTTCTTCGGCTGGCTGTTGCTGTGTCTCCCTGATGGATGGCCAACTCGCATTCTTCCGAGTCCGCCCCGCCAGGGCCGTGGGGAGGAAGGGGCAGAGCCCGGCGCTGTTATCCCAGCCAGGCACCCAAACACGGGGCCAGCAATGGCCCTGCTCCCAAAATCTCTGCTCCCAGGAAATGTGGGGCTGGGGACCCCCCCTCCCCCCGGGGTTTTGTGGTGTGCTCGTGGCACCGGGGGACTCCCACGTGCGTGGTGGCCAGGGAAGGGCTCAGCCCGTGGCTCTCCTGTTTTGTCACCTCCCAGAGCTGCTCTGGAGCCAGGTTTGGTCCCACACCGTGTCCCCAAAGCCTCCTTTCAAGCTGGGGGTTCCCAGGCTGGGGGCAAAGCCTCCGTGGGGCTCCTGGAAAGGCACATTTGGGCTGGCTTGCACCTTTGGGGCAGCCCGGTGTCCCCTCTCATCCTCAGGGACAGCGTGGCTGGGGTCAGAGGTGGCACTGGGGTGACCCTGCCTTGGCAGCCGCCCTTTCCCAGCCAACAGCAGAAAGCAGCAGTGATTTCTCCCCAAAATGGTGTCTGTGGAGGGCTGGACCTGCACGGTCCCCACCAGTGGCACACAGACAGGGATGGGGTTTGTGTCTGGTGCTGCCACTGGAATTGTGGGGAGTCCAGGGTTTTCTTGGACTATCAGGGTTTGGGCTTTACCTGGGACTGGAATGGGAATCTCTGCTGCCCAGCCCACCCAAAGTGGGGTCCCTGCAGCCCCACTGCTGAGTGGCTGCTGTGGTTTGAAGTCAGCTGAACCCCCTTTGCAGAGGGACAAATCCCCACTGTCCCTCACTCTTCCTTGCTGCTTTCCCCCTCG